TTCACGAATAAAAATTTTCGTCAACTGTCGGAATAATTGAATAAATATTTTAAAATTTAACATTAAAAATCATAAGATGTATGAAAAATTTGCATTAAAAAGAATTTACTTTTACCGTTAACACATCCTTGAATTGAAAAATTTGTTTAAAAATTTAATAAATTAATTACTTGAAATAAATAAGTAATTTATTAAAATGTATGATTTATGATTTACATTGACAAATAATTCAAATAATTCATTTTTCAAATTTTAAAAGATTAAAATAAAATTAAATCTTTTTTTTTTTAGATAAGAAGTTAGATAAAAAGTGGTTGAGAAGTTTAAACTTTGTATTATTTATAAAAGTTCAATGATGCCACTTACAGTGACAAGGTTGTAAATAAATCAACGAGATAACGGCACTTATTGCGTTGTAAGTAATCACCATCTTTTTGTCCATATCAATTTCCTGAAACGGTATTTCATTAGAAATATTAATTTAACTAAGAAATATATATCATTGCCCATTCCACACGATGAAACGAACAATGAAATTTACCTTTCATATCACAATAAGATTACCCTATACAGAAAAGATAATTAAAGATAACATATATACAGAAACGGTACTTTACGCGGAATTTCTTGTAATCTTTAGATTTTAATTAATCTTAGTTATGCATTTTTCTTTTCTTTATTCAAGGTCTAGGATCGAAGGAAAGGATTCATGAATCATTCAACAGTTTAGTAACGAGTATCTTGCGATGAATCGAATTGAATCATTATTAAAATTTTACACACATTGTTCTACATTTTAATTATAATTTTCGATTATCCTTAACGATTCGTCTGACTTTTCTTCAACATATACAAGCGAATCTTTCGCATTATTATCAAGTTTGTTCGAGCATAATACAAAATTCGATTATCTATTATACAATTTCTTCTACACAAATATATATATATATATATATATTAATTATTTTAACCGTAATCGTGAAATTTCGTTAAAGTTCACTGGAGCCAAAAGTGGAGATTAATTTAAACGCGTCTGTTGTAGATAAAGCTTCATTGGCACGACATTTTAGTTGAAGTTTTATATACAATTACGCTTACAATCCGCTTCTCGATAACTTAATTTTACAACCGTTCTACTCAACCACAGCTTAAACAGACGTTCTGCTGACGTCTTCCTGCCTTCCTGAGGTGAAAGTCGAGGTGGCGTCGTGCGACAGTTATTCAGATTCATCCGTGAGATTTCGAAAAGAGCGTAGAAGAACGTGGAGCGAAATTCCTGGCTATGCCTCAATCGTCAATCTTAACCCACATAACACAACTCTTCACCTGTATCTGAAACGATTAATTTTTCATTAATTAAATTACTTCTCACAAAAATGTACGATTTCTTTTTCTTGCTCGATAAGATTCGTTTCAAGATAAAACGTTTATTTCTTCTTCTTCTTCGAGGGAGCCGTGCTGTTTCATCGCATCAATTCAGCATCCACATTTATACAGCTGTTACTCTTTCGTTAATCATTCTGTTGCTTTTTCTGTTACCCCTTTAAACAAAAGCCTGCGTCGAGGTTTTTCCAAGATTATATTAGACTAGTTAGACTGATCGTCATATTGTCAATTCAAATTCGCGCTATTATTAATCTTCTTTATTTTGTTTGTCATGTTTGTGTTGTTCGAGGATACAAGGGAAAATTCCTCTGGTATGAGGCATAACACGAGGTACGAAGAAACGGAGATGAGAAACATTTCTGAAACGTTTTGCAATCACGAATGGAACAACGTGAAAATCACGTGAAGAAAGTACAACGTGTTATACAACCTGTCGATTTGGTAATAATAAATGTGATAAAGAAAAAGATATTGACGTCATAATTTAATAGTTGCGTCACTCGACGATACCCTTTCAAAATTTGAATCGGTTATCTGTCTCAAACGATATATATATATATATATATATATATATATACGA